ATTGGTTGAAAGGTCTGCATACCACCGGATACTAGGAATGAGCCGGATACTCGTTTCAGACGAGTATCCGGTACGGATAAAGCATTTTTGACGAATACGAGCATGAAACGAGTAAACCTCGTAAATATCTGTAATCGTGCTGAAGGAAAATCCTCATTGGGTAACTGACTGTCTTCACGCTCTGTGATTGGCCAGTCACATAGAGTGCCCGCCCCTCCCTACACACAAAACTGCAGCCGGCCGGGAGCTAAGTCCGTCCGGCTCATCCACGCACACACACAGACAGTAACGGATCTCGCTGTGATTGCTTCACTGTTGCTCACGTTTCTTCAGTTTTCCCTAGGTTTTCTTCAGCTCGCCTCTTTTTCGGTACAATATTTAAAGCTACTTTTTTCGTAACTTACATGGTGCATTTGACAAGACAGCTGACGTGCTGCGTCAGTCACTAACTCCGCTCCGGTCGGGTTTTTTTTATTATTTTTTTAACTCTCTCTCTATCTCTCTCTCTCACACACACACACCTTAATCAACATTGTTTTGTTTAACTTTGTGTGGGAAAATGCCAAGAATGTTAAGAAAAAAATCAGTTTAATCAAATTAAAATTAATAAATATATATAAAGTTGTGTCTGGTTCTAGCATTTCATATTTCCTAGTTCCTACTGCATGAGTTCAGATGTATTAATCCATGCACTTAAATATTAATGTTCAGATTTTATTGAAACACTTGTTCTGTAATTGTTCCTTTACTATTGTGATCAAAAATATTTAATCTCAATTCTGAGGCTGCTCTGTAAATAGTTTTCAAATAAACAATACACATATCAACTTCTGATCAATCTATATCAATTTCAGACATAAAACAATATATTGATGTAAACTGCACCCACTTCCTGTTAAACCACGCCCACTTCCGGGTTATGCCACGCCCATTCCGAGCACAGGTACAGATACAGATAATTTAGTTGGTTGAACAGATACAGATACAGATACAGATAGTGGTGTACTCGCTCATCCCTGCCTGATACCTTTCATTTTCAAACTAAGACCCTATTGTGATAGAAAATGAGTCCTAGAGCTAAATTAGAAACAAACCCCTAATGGTTGAAAATGACATTTGTAAATTTCTTTGCAAAAAGTTAGTTTGGTACCAGTTTTATGATTTTTGGTTAATTACTCTACACATAATCTTAATGTGTTCTGTTTTTATTGAGAGAATCTGAAACTTGAAGTCTAAACAAAACAAGCACCCCTTGTGGTTGGCTGCAGAATGAGCTTCAAGCTCTGCCCCCGGCATGTGAACAAATGAAAGTACACAAAAACTGTTTTCAAGCTATTGACTTCTGTTGTCATTTTTCATTAATTATGTTCAAATACTATTTTCTATAATGTTTAGCTGTAATTAGTTATATGTTTTCTAAAACACAATGAGTATTGCTGGTTCTTAAATTATTACAACATGTAAACAAAAGATTTAGGCTTTTGGAGACACGTATATAAACATTTCCTATTTAGACTCTTCTATTGTTCATCTGCTATCCATTGAGGTAATTTCCCTTTTAAAGCCAGAATTGTTTTTTGCAGAGTCATGCAATGTTTAGGATATGTGTCAGGAATGCAGGGCTGTTTTCCATCCTTATATCTGATTGAAGGCGGTTGCGTTTCTGACATGAATCACTCAAATACCAGTAAATATGAAACTTTCTATTTTCATGACCTTATCTGGGTGAACTAAATGTGCATTAAGGAGTCATACAGTCAGACAGCTTAATTTGTCACAAACACTGAAGGACCTGAAGAGTGGAACGTGTGAGAGGGTATTATCAATGATTAACAGCAGCGGATGCGTTTCCACATCACAGCATGTCCTGATTAGTTCTGGATCCTCCCCAGTGGAAGCGCTTTTGACAACACATGATGAGATGGAATGTCCACATGGAAATGGTTTAAGTCTAGAATTTTTATATACAATAATTTTTTACATACAGTAATTTTATTTGACAAGAATTTCACTCTAGGTAAGATAAATAGGACTGATAAGCTAACAGTTAGTCAAAGTGTAACATTTATTACAGCCATCTTAAAACAGAGCCAACCTTTTTTTTGTGACCCCTTAAATATCAACACGTGTAAGACATTTAAAGATGTTGTTCACTTGTTTAATCAATACATTTGCAGTTGTCTCTAGTATGAATGTTTTGTAAGTTGTACTCTGGGTAAAAAAGGCACTGGTGCATTTGTTTGAGGAACTAGAAGTGAGCCACATCAGAGCGGAGCTTCAGACGGCAGGATTTGGAGTCTTATGTCCTAATATATGGACATCTTGCCTCAGATTGTATATCAACAACATGACTCCACTGATGACTCCGTTGTCAGAGTATAAGCAAGTATTAGAGGAGTTTGCCGTCTTGCTGTGGTAGTTCTGAATGACTTATTAAAGGAAGTAAAACGCCATGATTGACTCATAATTCACTACACACATACATTTAACTGTATGTTGAGTAATTGATAAGTGAAAAAGTAGACGACTATTCTTCAATTTCACCGTTAGCATTGTTTGCTCAATGTTAGCCTCTTGCCTGCTTCAATAAGCGTAAAACAAAAGGATGACTTCTTAGGGGTTAAAAAGCTGCTGAAAACTCACTTGTTTGCGTGACCTTTGTCACCACCCTCACCTCATTCTGCTTATTCTGCCTTTCCTGGATCCACTGATTTTCCTCTCCTATTCATTTTCTCTCTCTGTTTCCTTACATTTCCTTTTAATCACAATTTTAATTTTTTCCCATTTTAAACATATTTTAATCCCTTTTAAAATTCTTTTTTTAAACTTTCATTTTTTGTTGTTTCTGTGAAGAATCTCATGATTTATATCTTGCGAGGCGCTATACAAAAATTTTCTTTCTTTTTTCATTCTTTACAACAAGTAACTTCTGGGTTGCTCCTGTTTACTGGCTTCAGTTAAACAAATCTGGAGCTTTTTTCTCATCTGTGCTGAATTAGAAATGGTAATGCAGCAGGGCTTGCCAGTGCAGACTTGGCAACCCTGTGGGTTCACAGATTATTAAGATGATTAAAGGAGCAAAACTGACAACTTCTTAGCCAGCTGAGAAGGAAGTAGGTTTCAATATAACCTTCTTTCCAACGCGCTTGTTATTTTTTCACTGTAAAATACTTATTTATTGTACCTTCAAATATCCACTGCTATTCAGAAAGATGGTAACACTGGTAAAATTACAAAAATGAACAACTTTCATTTAAATATACTTAAAAATGACTGTAATCCCTTTAAGGAACATTTATTATTTACTACTTCAGTACTTAAATTAATTAGATAGCAAATGTGTCATTTAGTCCTAATGGCATTACTATTAACTAATTACTAATGAGGCATCAAATTACCTGTATCTTTCAACAGCAAAACAAAAGTTTACCATCTCCAGGAAAATCAAGCCTCCATCCGGTGTTGGAGCCTCTTTCAAACTCACATAACCATGAATGAAAAAGCACATTAAGGATCAAACTTCTGATTATTTCTTGTTGCTTACATAACCACAGGGACAGGGCTGGATAAGCTGTTGCTTCTTCCTGATCCTCTTTTGAATGCATTTGTTTTTGTTGATAAAGTAAATTGGTGAGATAATGTTTTTGAATAGGGTTTTTTCTTCCTTTTCTTCATTTACTGTTGTGATGTACAGTAATTGTATGTGTTCAAAAGAAAAAAAAAACGTGTAGCATCAGCTCCTAAAACTGTTCCCTCTGCCTCAGCAGCAAAAACACAGCCCCACACAGGGCCGTGAGTACAGTTCAAGTTAAAAGAAACAAGGGTTTAATCGGCTAAATGATTCTGAACGTAACTCAAGTCAAGTTCAAGTCAAATGTAGGATTGGCCACAGCTACACAAGGTTCAATGAGAAATCGCTGAAGCAACTTTGAAAAAAATAACAAATGTCCATCTTTAACTGTTAAAATATAGCAGTTTAAAGAAAAACCGCAATCCTGATGTGTAAAAGCTGTGAAAATGATGTCCAATATTAATTATTTTCAGAGAACTAATAGTTATTAGGCACAACAGCCTCACTACTTTCTCATTTTCTGTACTAGTTGATTCAAATGAAGGCTGAGGAGAGTTGATGTCATTCTCAAGCAGTCTTCAGAACATTGGTGCAAACAACCTGCACACCTTTGAGTCTCCAGTTAACCTAAAATGCATGTTTTTCGTCTGTGGATGGAAACCTGTAGAAAACCTATGCATATATGGGAAATCATGCAAACTGCACGCTGAAATGTCACAGCTGGGATTTGAATGTGTAACTTTGTTGCTGTAAGGCAACATGTAAGGCCTCCTACATTACTTTAGAAGTGAAGAACTTTGATTTTAGTATTTTTGATGTGCATTTAAATGTATGAAAATGTTATTTTACTAAAAAGTTTAGTCAAATTTTAAAAAGACAAATAAAAATTGAACAAAGTTTATAAGTTACAAGATCTTCAAAGCTGACAAATTTCTTCTTTTTTCAGTCAAACTGAACAATTTCAAGATATGTGTAATTTCAGATATCCAAAACGAACAATTAGAACAAGCATTACTAAATATTTTAATATTTCAAAATGAAAGAAACGCTACATAGGGTTGTTTTGCATTAAAACATGATTAGGCAAAACTGGATAACGTTTAATAACTTAATGTCATTTAAACATAGACAAATGAAATTAAAATCACCTTCTATGAACATGTCTCGTCAAACATGTTTCTTAACCTTTTCTCCTATTTAATATTTAGTCAGTGTCGTCCATTCTTTTTTTTCCCCTTCATTTTCTTACCCTCCTCCCTTTTTTTGTTCCGTCTGGAGGAAAAACAGATGCTGCAGGGTAAAGTTCCAGTAGCTATGTCATCCTCATTTCCGTATGGCATCACCGGGCTCTGATTGGTCGCTGCCGCCGCGAGCTGATGAAGCGGAGGGGGGCGTGTTCCCCGCGCGCCACGGTATATGTGCGCCTGTACTCCTCTGTAGGACCAGAAGGAAACGCAGCAGCGAGAGGGAAACGACCCGCAGCAGCTGTATAAACACCAGCCTCGGAGGTTTTAGCGCCTACACAACTCGTGTGCTCGCAGCGGGCTCCCCAGCACGTTTTACCCCAGCAGCAGAGAGCGGAACTTAGGAACGATGCAGTCCGGGTACCACCAGCACCTGATCAGCATGCTGTTTGTTTTCAGCAGCCTGCAGGTTTACCAGCTCACGGAGGGCTGCTCTTGCGCGCTGTCGCACCCACAGGACGCCTTCTGCAACTCCGACATAGGTGAGTTATTGTTTATCCTATGATGGAGCATCATGGAGCTAACAGGTGTACGTTCAGTAGTGATAAGTGTGTTGTCTGCACGTCAATCAAAGGTGACTGAACGCACGTGAGCTATGACGACACATGCCATTTGAGGCTACAAAGTTGATGTAAAAATATTAAATATGTGGAATATTCCTGTTGCCGTTTTGCTTATCAAACCCCAACCAATGTAAATATTTTATGACCTTACTAAAAAGGTCAATAAATGTCACTTATTATTTTTAAGTAGTAATTTGTACATTATCCCACTTTTTTGCTGTGGCTTAATCTTTCTTTTTCTGCCTGCATGACCTGAACTTGTTTTGAAAATAATACTGATAATATTTTTAAAGAGTAAAAGCTTCTGTTTGAATTCTCACACAAGATTTTCATTGACCAGTCCATTTGAATGGTCCAAATAAACACGTGCCTCTCCTTATGGTGGGAAGGGAACAGTGTTTGACTATAACGCTCACCACTCTGGTGCTTCTGTGTTGGACACTGGGATATGGGAAAACGGTCTTCATAGTTGGTTTTATTACCTGGACGTCCCAATTCTACGTGCCCAGAATAATATGAACTCGGGATCTGGCTTAGCACTGGCAAAGACCTGAGGATTATGTGATCGACCCTGAGGGGAGAGAGGCTGTTTTGGGTTTGCAGGCTGCGTGGAGAAGCTGAGGTCATTCACACAAGCTAGTTCTGGAGAAAAGCAGCACACACACATTTGGAAAAGCAGAAGATAACAAAGTTTCTGGGACATTAAACACTGTAATTCCCATCAGCACATTCAAACAATAGTTTTTTTTAGTTCAAAGTACTCTGAATACACACAGAGTAGCCTATTTTTGCACTCATGCCTAATGCTGTTTACCTAAACACAAACACAGAGACCCCTGTGTACGGCCTAATAAATACATGTGCTGCTGTTCGCCAACAGAGGCCCATGGCAGGTGGAACAAAGCAGAACGCCGTCACTACTGACTATTGGCCGCTGCATTTTCAAGGACACACAAGAACACTGATTAGAGGCCGACCAATATGGTTTTTTAAGGCCGATACCGATTTTTAAAGAATTTTGTTGCCGATATCCAAAGCCAATTATTAAGGTGTGTGTGTGTGTGTGTGTGTGTGTGTGTGTAATGTTTTAGCAGCTCGTTTATTGTGAAAGACAACTGAACACTCACAGTGTGCAATACAAATTAAACAAGTCAGTTAATCTCTTAATATTTAATAAACTTTAAATATAAAACAAACTTGAAACATTAAAAAAAACTGTTGGGGTCCTTTGAGTCCTTTCTTCAGGCTAGTAGTGGCAGCAGTTGCCCACATAGGTGCCTGATTTTTATTTTTCATCAGCTTTCAAAAATCAGCTGATGGCCAATACAGAAAGAATTGACTATCGGCTGGCCTCTAACACTGATATATGTACTTTTCACGTATGTGTAATTATATATTTCACTGCAGGAAAATCTTTAAAGTTCTAAGTTCAGTTGGTGTAAAATATGATTTTTTTTTATATGATGCGTTTAGCTCTGTTTCTATGGTTTAAGTTGACCATAGTTTAACTGTTCAACCAGTGATGTTTGGTGTCAGATGTCTTTGCCATTGTTGTTTTATGGTCAGAAGGTTTGGAAGCCAGTTCTACATCACCATAACACATCTTTCATCCTGAGATGATGTAAATAAGCATCCAAGTGAAACTTTACATATTATGGAGAAAAGTGGCTTCAATGTGACCTCTGTGATTTTCCTCCTCCTTGACCTTTGTTGATGTTGTGATGAGACTTAAGTTAAAGTCCCATTAGTGTGTGAAATTTCTTCTCCACATTTGACCCATCCACTCAGGGAGTGGTGAGCTGCAGACACGGCCACGCTCGGGAACCCTTTGGTGGTTTAACCCCCCAATCCAACCCCTTAAATCTGAGTATCAAGCAGGGATGCATTGGGTCCCATTCTTTTAAAGGCTTTGGTATGACCCGACTAGATTTGAACCCACGATCCCCCAGTCCTTGGGCGGAAAACTAGGCCACTGAGCTGAGGTTTGCTGGGGTTTGTAACATAAACACAGAAAATAATACTTCTGCCAGTTGGAAGCGCTTCTGTTGGTGGATTATAATTAATTTCATTTAGCTCTGACGCTGGCTCGTGATCTTGCATTCTAAAATCCACACTGCTGTGCTAAACGGTATAAAGTAACCAGACATAGAATATCAGCTATCTCATTTGTAATGTATTTATCTGGCTAGTATGAAGGCCTTGAAGCCAAGTGACCTTGTTGGAGTAAGTTAAATGTCTAAAACACTCATGCAATGCTTTTCGTGGTCCTTCAGAACAGCACATGGCTCACGGTGTTGAGACTTGCTGAAATTTTCCCGAGTACAATGTGAGACGGACTTCAGTGGGCAGACTGATCAGTTCTGAGCACCACAAATCCCACTTCCAAGGCCATGGCTTAGCTTGAGGTGTGCTCTGAATGCTTGAAGTTCCTCATAAACCTCAGCGCTCTGGGTGAAAATCTTCTGGTCAGGACGCACAGAAAGGTCAAAGCTCATGTCCGTTTAAACACAAACAAAAGATTTGCCATAAAAGTTAGAATTGAAACAAGAAGTACTGATGTAGGTTAAAATTTGTATGTAAAGAGAATGTTGAACTCTTGAACTACACCTCGTTGCCAACTAAAAGTGCCCTTCCGCCCTTATTAGACATCCTGCATGGGGGGGGGGGGGGGGGGGGGGGGGGGGGGGGGCACAGTGAGAGTGAAACCCAGTAATTTCCACCATCAACATCAAAGACAGCAAGTCTGGATCTTCCTAATTCAAGACCTGCGGTAGAGTTCAAAGCATCACACTCTTGTTTTCTTGGCCTTAACCCATGATCACCCACAGGCTCTCCACTAGATAAAATACCAGTTGGGAGAATAAATTGAAATTAAGTCTTTGGAGATCGTCTTTGCACACTTGGCATTAAATCTAAGTAATTTCTGTTTGATGTAATACTTGCACGTTTTTAACTGGATGCTTTCAGTTCTAATAAGGAAGTGCAATTAATCAGGTTCATATTACCGTTTAAATTTTGGCTCCAAAACAGTCATGAAAGGAACGAGGTCTGTAGAAAGACATTAATAATTATCTAACAGTATCTGCGTTTTGACCCCTCTTCTGGTCAGTTTTAGCTCATGCTGTCAGTTCTACTCTGATCTGAACAGTTATGACTAAAATGGCAGTTTTTCAGCAACTGTGTTAAAAACAGACCACTTGAATGACGAAATAAGCATAACTTGTCTTCACAAATCCCTCCCAACGGGAGATTAAAGGCTGGCAGGCAACAAGCTCAGACTGTGAAATCTATTTTCATGGAACAGAAGAAGGTTTGCAAACACGTGAGGATGAAGAGCAACACTTGGCATTCTCTCGTTATCAATACGCCCATTGGTGAGTTGCGTAGTACCCGGTTACTTCCTTTGGCATCCATCCCCATCCCGATGGAGAACAACCTGGGGAAAGTCTAGCTCCCATAGTGAGATGCGTTATGTAAGAGTGTTTTGGATCTGCAGTTATCCCAAAAGCAAGTTGAAATACGACAAGATGCCAGAGGTTCTGGATTCCACACAAGCCTGAGATGTTTGTCCCCTGAGCCAGGCATATCAAATCTCCTTCTCACCCCTCCCTTCTGTGATGACCACACAGCCCTTCACTGTTTCAAACAAGAGGCCCGTAATGGGGCTTTCAACAAAGGTCAAAACAAACACACATACAGAAATGAGTAAACAACAAATAAAGATTGAAATTTGCAACAGTAAAACGTTTTGGAAGCATTTTCATGAGATCCTATTGGAAAAGCGATAATCTTAGTTTCATAATCCAAGTAGAAACCAATGACACACCTTTCCAACATGTTTAAAGAGGCCAAAACGGGGTCAGTGAGCACTAGTGAGGGTGATTCAGAAGAAATGAGGTAAATGCAAAGCAGATGGTTAAACAGCTCAGGTGCACACATTAAAACTAGTTTTATGGATCTGCGCTATAGTTCTACTGTAGAGGCAGAACTTTTTGGCAAACTAATATAAATAAAGAAGCTTTATTATTATTATTATGCCCTGCTTATTATAGAAACCCTTTTTTAATCAAGCGAAAACGGCATGCTGTTATGTTTGTTTTCGTCTTCTGGTATGGATTTGTCCAGCTCTAGTGTTTCTGGCAGATCATGGGTTAGCTCTTGATCTGCAAAGTTCAACCTGTTAAAGTGACAATGTGAAGTTTTTATCGTTAATCTCTGAAAATTTCCATAGAAATGTTTTTGAAAATGAATTAAATGATGCCCAGTTGTTCAAAAAAATATTAGCTGCTTCATAACATAACAATAAAAATCAGGTCTAAAATACATGGGAGCAGGTCTAAGTCTTGGGGCGAAGCCAGATTAGATGCAAGGTTTCCTTCTACCGAAGACTGTGAGGACAAAACACATTTACAGATACCTAACAAACGATCACAAAAGTGTGTGTGTGTGTGTATATGTCTCCTCTGCAGATGAATAATCTAGTACTACACACATTTAAAATTAAATTAGACATTTCTTTTATTAAATCAACTCTTGGCTACATGTTTAATGTTTTAGATATGTTAACTGTACATTTATGATTGGCCTCCTTTGTGCTGCAGCCTGTAAATCACATTACATGCTCCTTTCCTCTTGCAGTTACCACCTAAACGCGTGGTTCTACAGCTGAGTTTTGGCGTTTTACTGTTTATTTTAGATCCTGTAGTGTGTCTTCCTGTTCCTCCCACTCACCTCCCCATGCTTGGACAACTTTCTGCATACTTTTCGGCAAACATCAGTCACCCTTACACTGCATCTCTTTCTCCCTTTCACACACAGACCAGTGCGTAACCATTTCCTTGTCATGCTGGATGTTGTCACATTTTATGTAGGCTGATACAAATGTTCAGCATTTCCATTCAAGCTTTTGTAATCCCCTGCTCTTGGCAAGAGACAGTTGGCGAAAAATGTTTCCACTTTTATTTTCGGTTACGTCTCTGTTCATTGAAGGCCTCCCACTCAAGGAAACGTGTCTAAAATCTGCGTCAGAAAACGGATCATCAGGTCCACGTGTTACGTCAAATGTGAAGAGAACACTTTCTAAATACACATAGAAAAGATACTTTTACTTATGACGTAATCACTGAGTTGTCACCAGATTCATACAGTTTCAGGTAAAATGAATTTTCTTTGGCCATGTTAATGAAAAAGAATATAACTAAAACTTTACAACGTGGATAATGTCTTACGTGTAATTAAAAAAAGACTTGGCGATTAAATGAAAGCAATAAAAATAGTAAAAATGAATAGATGTTAAAATAAACATTTGCTTTAACTATTAGAAAATCTGTTTTTACACATTTTTTTAGCTAAAACAGTATGTCACTACTCTGTTCCCTGCTAAATAAATTCTCAAGGAAGTTACGTAAATGTCTCAAAATGTTTGCGAGGGTTCTCCGTTTCCTCCTGCAGGGGTCGCAGGGCTTTGCTGTCCTGTTACCTGAATTTAAATGTGGTGATTTGTACGTTAAATATTTGCAATGTTGAAAACGAAAAATGTAGGACGACTTTTGGAAGAGTTGGCGATGAATTTGCTAATCCGGCCTTCAGCTCAAAATTCTTAGTTTTGTGTCTGAAGCGGTCATGGCACCAGAGTCATTCTGACTTCGGTTTGACACGGAAATAAATCAGCAGTTTAGTAAAGTGATACTAGCTGACACTTTTCAATATGTTCTTGTTAATTGGGGATAGAATTAGTGCTTATAAATAACTATGGCTATGCAATTCACCAAAATATTTTTTTGAAAGATGCTCACTTCCTCCCATTTTGAAAGCTATGATCACATGTATCTTGTGAGTAGGGTTGCAACGATTAGAGGTTTTGGTGGTATGATTATAATCTGTAAATTAATCCCGGTTTCACGATTACCATGCTCATTTTGCCTGGAATGATTTCCCATCTGTATTTACATATATGAATCATCAAGAACACACATCCATGCATTTCAGTTATGGCCCCTCCCCGTTCTTTGGTACACGTCCAGTAATATTTTCCATATGTTTCTGTTTCCAAGTGTTATTCTTGAAGAAACCCTTTTCCTTAGTGTACAGCCAAAGTCTGCCACCTGCTGATGCATTAAAATACCTGTAGTTTCCTTAAAATGTGAACTCTGGATAGGCCAGTGGTACTCAGTAGGCTGCTCGAAAGCCTCCTCTTTGTGGCCCCCGAACAACCCCCCCACCCCAGGAGGACTGCCATAGCGTCCGCTCTACTTACTCCAGCAGCAGCACCCCCGGACCTGAACTTTGCTGCACAACCCCCCCCCCCCCACCCCCCCAAACCTACATGGCCCTCAAACTCATGATTTTAAATGTTGCTCTCGGCCACTTATATTTAAGTACCCCTGCTTTAGGCTCTACCTTTAGAAAACCTCCAACATAAATATTTGTGCTTTCATTGCAAATTGTGGCCTATATATTAGTTTCTGAGGGTCTTCATTCAAAATGTACAACTTTATAAAATGTAACTCTGAGGTAATGTGAACACATAACATACGATCAAGTGCTCTGGGTGTTCTTTGTTTTGAAGGGCCACCATGCAGAGTAGAGCCTTTTCCTCCATGAATACAATTAAAGGCAGTGTAAGTATTTATTGTCCATGATAAGGCGGATCTATAAAAACTTAGTTTTGTTGCAAATGCAAATATTTTCGGCGAACCAGGTTTTGTTTTGTTTTACATTTTGAAACCGTGGTTATAAGTTGTAAAAGGCAGCATTTGCACAGGAAGGAAAGAGGAAATTGTTTAATGATTCAAAGTGCACTTTAAATTGTGTCCGTTCCACGTGGAATTACGTACTTAAACCTTTCTAAAGTGGTGCTTTGGCCAGCACGAGACCTGAAGCTGTACGTTTGTAGGTGCTAAATGGGAGGTCAGAAGGTCGCCTAAGGGTACCGACACAAATCATCAGCCTTTGGAGCAGATGAGGCCCCTCACACACCCCTGTGGGATGACCCCATTATCGGCTAATGTGTGGCTACAGACCCACACAACAAATTGAAATTGCTAATCTATGACAACATGGATATGTTTGATGGACATATTTAGTTACTGGTGGTGGTTTGGGATCCAACTAAGAGTTGAGAGGTCAGAAAGTGTTGCTGTGAAAGGTCAAACGGCAGACAGCTGGCTGGAATGAACAATGTATGCTTTCTTTTTGATTGCTGGCAGGTGAAAATCCTCACCTGTGTTGAACTTGACAAACAGTTGAAAGTCTTAACGCGACATTTCCCACAATCTAGCAGTTGTTGGTGTTTTGTTTAAATAAACTCATAGTTCTAACCGAGTATGTCATGTCCAGAATAAATTTGTGGTCACTTTGTTTGGGTGGCCATGCTGTAACTACTTCCTGGCTAAATTCCTCCTGCCAGCTAGACAAATACAGACCAACCAGAAGGTGCCACATGCCTCATTTCTCTCTCTCCACTGAAGAAGGGCGATCGTTTTCCCTTCTTTCTGGGGAATGTGAGCCCCCAAAGAATGTGTGGAAGGAAATTCCTCTGGGAGAAGATAACAAACATGTCCAGTGTTAGTTGTGTCTGCGGCTGGTTGGATTTGGGCAGCAGGTGAACTTCATATGGTTTATGCAGGACCCGCAGCCTCCAGTAAGCTTCTCCGATGGAAACTACACTCCCTGTTCTGGGTTTTTCACGTTAAGCTTCCCTTTGCCATGCCAGTGAAAACAAATGCCAGGTGTTTTAATATCTGCATGTGGGTCCAGTTATCGCTTCAATCTCTAGTGCTGAGAGAGGCTGTTTAAAGACTGCTATGGTGTCCTTTTAAGATTCAGTTTTTCGTACACACACCACACTCCCTCCGTGTGTTTTCCTACACTAAACTTCTTTTGGCAATGATAAAAAAAATAAAAATTAAAAAATAAAATTAACTGATACCCGTCCAGTTCTGTTATGATATTTATAAGCAGTTTATGAATGCCTCCTATTGGCCAGGGTGGTACGGTCAAACTAGTGCAGTGAGACCAATATGGCTGTCTCTCTTTGCAGTGATCCGAGCTAAAGTGGTGGGCAAGAAGCTCCTGAGCGATGGACCTTTTGGAACAATGAGATACACGGTCAAGCAAATGAAGGTGAGAACACTTTTACAATAATTAAAGAGATTCTTCAACCATTCTGATGTATGTTTGAAAGTAAAAATTAATATCTTGCTCAAGCTAAATGGCTGCTTTAAACGGCTTCAGATGAAAGCACAATGTCAAACTGAAGGCCTGTGGGCCAGATGTGGCTTGAATAATCATTTTATCTACCTCGCAAGATCAGTAATATAGTTATCATGTGGGTGTATGGGATGGATTTCACTAAAGCTACAATTCTCAGAATGCACTTAGACATGCAACAATGGCTGTGTTCGAGATGAGCCACTTCTGTGCAGATTAGATCACCGATGATCGGCATGCAGTGCTTGCCGGTTAGATTTGTTCCCGACTCAACGCCGACTCGCTCTAACGTCATGTTACGTTGATAACTATATAGGCCATAAAGAGAAATGTGATTTGTGTTCTTTTGTCACATTTTCTATGAGCACACTAAACCTACAGCTGATAACCTTTACTTATTATTACAGTCATGTCTTCATGTACATGGTATGATCTCCACAAGCACGTGAGGATGTGTTTCAGTTGCTAACGGGCACCAGAATTAAAATTTAAAATTAAACAAGTATGAATGCCAACGCGATGTCTTCATTCATCGTCACCCGCCAGCTACATGCAGGGAAATCTGTCCGACTTAAACGCCGGCTTTCAGCCACTCCCCCTGCTGCGTCAGTCTGCTCTCATCCGCTTAACTCGAACACGGCCATTGTCACAAACCCAGAAGCTCCTCCTCTTAGCAGCGTTGGCAAGGAATTTTGACAAAGTCAGAAAGTAGCTAAGAATGACTAGAAATGTCGATGGGGTGTTTGCTTGGCGCTTTTGTGAAAAAGGAGGTCTGAAAAGTTGTTAAAAATGCAGACAAAGTTGGCAACACTGTGTGGGAGGTACGCTCGATTTGCAACTTGGAGCGGCGTGACAATAAACCACGACGAGAGGGCAAACAGTGCATTTTTATCTTAATTAGAATCTGAGTTTTGAACAATTAATAACATTGAGCCGATTAACGGGAGTCCCACTCCAGTCTGCTGAACTTAGAAATAAATTGAGCAGACGTAGCTGGTGCTGCAGTCTGCATCCAGCACATTTCCTGCTTGTTTTAGATCATGAACACAGCTGATTTGTTTAGTTTAGTGATGAATCACTCCTGTAGACACTAATGGAGGCTGGGAGACATTTCAGCTGTTAGATTAAGGTGTTAAAAAGACTAACGCACAGCGAGGAGATACGTATTGCTTTCAGTTCTAATAAATGGACACTAGGGGGTGCTAAAAGCAAGCCAAAACTGCCTAGTCTCTATTTACTCGAGCAGCCTTAGTTATATGTATAAACAATTTTTTGCTTATTTGTTCCAGCTAGCGGCCAACAGTCCCAGCCTAGCGAGTTACTAACTTTAGCTATTGTGTAAAAGCTGGAAAGCAGTTTGGGATTCTGATCCTGGAACCCTTCCTGTGCTCTTACATAATGCTTCATATTTCTGACAGATGCTGACATCGGCCCTCTGGTCTGATAGGAGCCAGGCCCGAGGATTAGCAGGCTTACGGGCTTTACAGCTCAACCAAACGCGTCACACCGAGTAAACATTCGCTCGGACTTGTGTACCGCATCTGTACTGTACTGTCTAACAAAAACAATTAGTTTGTGGCCTTCTGAACTTTATTGTAACGGAAAACTTTAAATATGACATTAAAACCCACAATTTTCAACAAAACAAAAATATAGATCTATTTTTAGATCTATATAGATGTATGTCATGTGAGAGAAATCTGTGGCTTCCTTTAAGCTCCACAGTAACCATTTGTTCCACTTTCCTGGGAGTGATGTATAAATAGGGATTTCCTGTTTTCCTACACAAATAAATGACACTGACAGAAAAAATAACTGCGAGCAAACCTGACGGATGACTCAAACCAAGTCAGCGTGTTGTTTCCCTTTTCCATTCATTCTCATGGAGGCTGTTTTGAGAAGAAGTTTCTTCCACCTCTTTACTAAGATTTTTGTTTCTTCTTTCAGATGTATAAAGGATTTGACAAAATCCAGCACGTGCAGCACATTTACACAGACGCCTCCGAGAGTCTCTGTGGCGTCAAGTTTGACATCAACAAGTATCAGTACCTGATCACAGGTGAGCTCTTTGTTTTGTGTTGAATTCAATGCTGTGAAACGGTTATACATTTCTTCAGTTTTGGCTTTTTTTGTCTCTTAAATGCTGTTTTTTTTTTCACAACCCTGTAGCTGAATATGATGCTTGTATTTCTACTACATTTTCACGTTTATTCCAGCTATCAGCATCACCAGCTGTCTGTATTTTTATGATCATCACTACGGTATCAGCAGGCCAACCATAGGACATTTTATAACTAATTTCTTCAAGCTTCTCAGGACAGAAGCCAGTTTTCTCTCACACACACACACATGCACACACACACTAGTAATTAAGAGCCAGCAGGAAGCACCTGGCGTTTTCAGTCCAAGCATTTTACAAGTAGCTATTTCCAACAGAGGTGAAGTTTACTTTGGCCCCTGCAGCGCTTCATTTATATAAGTGTTGCTAAGTCCTGACCTGGGAATACTGTAACTCCATCACACGGCCAGTGGGTCGGTGTTCCCAGGCAATGGCGGCTATGTTTACCCAGTCAGCGTGACATCAGCAGACGTCTTTTTCTGCTTGTGAGGCATCTAAAATAGGTCCTGCAAAAACCCAGGACTGAATTACGAGCAGCTCAATCACCTGGGCCTCTGAGATGAGCTTTGATCCAGCTCTGAGGGATCCTGATTAGTGTTTTAGGAGTGTGTTTTGTACACCACACATTATAATCTCTCTGTGCGTGTGTGTGTGTGTTGTGTGTGTGTGACTCAGTAGTCACTGCGTGGGGCTACAGGGCTACCAATGAAGGATGTATTACTTGGCTGTTAAACTCCCACTTGACAAACTGTAGCTCCTGAGGCTGCTGTGGTGCACCTGTCTGCAGATCACCTGCCTCCACATAGATGCATGATATGTAGATGATTAGAAATGGGAGTATTGGTTTAATACGGGATTATGGACGTGAGATTGTCTCACCGCTGCACCAGGGCCATCCAAAGAACCGGGTAGACTCACTATTCATGACACCTGACTCAATCCAGCAAACTTTACTGAAGAAAGAGTGGCTCAAATCCTGTTCTTGTTGCTGATAATGTATGAATTAACCAACATTTATTTTTCAAGACAACAAAACTAGAAAACAAATTGACTCATCAAACTCAGGAAATGGGATGCCTTGTCTTTTTTAAGGTATGAGACCCTTTTCTGTTTCAGAGCCGTTGAGATCTGCAGATCCGTTTTCTCCAACAAGCACGACATTTAGTGTTTTTTAATAAAAATACGTGCCACATTTTTGATTTTTGAGCAGATAAAACGTTTTTTCCAACTTGCTGATTTATTTTTCCTAGCACGGGAGATATTTTGAACGCTAGATCAATATATTCATTTATATCTGAAGAGATTTGAAAAATTGACCAAATCGTGATAGCTTTTGTGGTCTCACTTGTTCCTGTAGTTCCTCACAGAACAAAGATAAAAGCTAAATGGGACACCAGCTGTGAGGCTATGAGCTCGAAAATCAGAAAAGCATTTGTGTTGCTACTAAATGTTCTCACTGTTTTTGGCTTTTCTTTGGAAAAATCTGTGTGAAATGTATCATGGGCGTGTGGAAAATCTGCTATGAACTCGGAAGGAATCAGAAATAAAATCTGTAAATTCTAATGCACTGTCATTTTCTTTTTCAAAACTTTATTTCTTGAATTTGGCCAGTCAGTCATGGCGGATGGCTGCTCACACTGATCCAGGTTCTGCTGGAGGTTTCTTCCTGTTAAAGGGGAGTTTTCCTCTCTCGCTACATGTTTGCTTAGTATGTGGATCGCTGTAAAGACTCTGACACAAGTCGTTGACTGGATGCACTCTGCCGGGTTTCCTTAAACACTAAACTTTTAACAAATCGGAATACAGAACTGAACTCAAAGCACGGATACGTAGGTTCAATGGGAATGTTTCCTTTGTGAAGTCCCTTGAGACGGGACTTTTTAAAATAAACTTAACAGAACTGATTTAAACAAAAAACGGCTTTGGTAAATGATTTTGGAGCATTAGTTTTTATCCATCTTATGGATGACTTCCTTGTTTCCACAGGTCGCGTGTACGAAGGCAAGGTCTACACTGGACTCTGCAACTTCAACGAGGGATGGGAGCGCTTGTCGCTGGCGCAGAAGAAAGGCTTCAACCATCGCTACCAGCTGGGCTGCAACTGCAGGGTGAGTTAGAGGATAACGCTAACTGAAACAAATGGTTAACCGCTTCAGTTACCAAAGGAGGAATAATTTTAATATTCAAACTGTTTAGGCTTCTAATTATCCAACGTTTACTACAAGCCACCAAATACAAGTTTTTTTAATTTACAAACTTATTTTTAGGACTTAAATTTCCACTAACAGACATGTATGTTGAGCATTGACAAGAATGGAGGGAAAAAACATGTTTTGCTACTATCACAGGGATTTATTAGCTCTGGAGTTGGCTCGTCTTCTTTCCCAGTTTCCTATAACTCAAGCATGTAGCCTGCTGCTGTGCAGCTGCTGACCCGCCTCGCAAATGTCCTACTGTACAGCAGCATCCCAGACATCTGCTAGCACGCACGGCCACTATCAGAACAAGTGGATTAGCAGAGACCCATTTGTTCCCATGGGGGGCCAACTCTTGCAAACTGTGTTGAGAGTTTACATGGCAGCGGCCCAGCGGCATCCCGAGAAAGTCATCTGTCATCCAAACCTTCACAATAAGAGTCTATAATAAACTTATTTATCATCCTCTCACAAACTTTATTGCCACAGAGAGCAGGAAGTAGTTGGGAAATGATTTTCCACTCAAACCAGGAAGTTATGCGGAACATTTCAGAAGCGTAGAGGATGAGACCCTCTTGCAGTCACAAAACGAGCTGATTGGATGTGCCGGTGTATTCATACCCAGATAAGTGCAGTTCTTCTCAGCCAGCAACTCGCTGCCACTAAACACTTCTCTGTTCATCACCTTTGAGCTGTTGTGTGAATCTTCCTGTCAGACGATCCATGAAGCTGCTGTTTTGTGCAGACACCTGGAGCAGTGACGCACAGCGGAGGCCGCGTGGCGAGAGTCAGAAACGTTTAACTACTTAAACTTAAACGCATCAGGAAGACACTTTATGGATCTGTTCTTGGTAATTTTGAAAACACCTGATCTGTGAAGCTGCTGCTGTGAATGACAGCAGAAGCTTATTTATTTGATAGTTCACGTCCCCGTGGTTTAATTTCAGCCTTTGTGTGTGCAACAAATTCATAATAGCTGTAAAGTAGGAATGCAATGTTAAAATAACATTAAATGAATATTTGTGAAAATAATCCTGGCTAATTGACACAATTACCTTAACACTCAAAGTGCAGCAGGAACAAAACATTTTCGCCGTCTCTGTTATCCTAACAAGACTCTACAAGGTAGTTTTCCAACGTGGACCGGTGCAGCTCGGCCCACCCAGTTTCCAAGGGCACGGTTTAGTATATTCTCTCTACTTTATCCCCTATTTTTAGTTCCTGCTCCTTTGAGGTACCTGGCAAGGCTGATCCGGGCCGCCATTGTGACGCTGGTTGGCTGGGGGCGGAGTCACTTGTCGCTCCAGAGTTTTCTGCCTTCTGTTTCACTGCCTGCGGCCATTTCCTGGTTCAGTCTGACAACAAGCCAAAAACTGAGTAGAATGTCCAGCAACCATTTTTCAACTGAGTGTTGTTTCTGTGGAGCATACAGGTTACCTTACACCGTTTACTGATCAACTCATGCTATCTTGTCATTAGTAAAAATCGCAACCCCCCTCCCCCGTGAGTGCCACGGGTTCCCCCATTTCCTCCCTCCTCACCTATGAGGGGTGCGCCGAAGCAACAACACTACACTCAGATGGGCTGACTCGGATCACAGAGCTGTTTCAGGCCGAGCATGGCTCATGCAAATCTAGCCAAATTAGCTTATATTTAAAAATGAAATAAAAATTGATAGAAAAATGTGGCATTTGAAGAAAATTTAATTAATCCCATTACTCGCTGTTTCCTGTCTATTTCCCTCCATTTCTGTTGATTATGCTACATCCACTAGCATTACCTACGATTACTAACCTCACACTTGGGTATAGGGTTACAGTTCATGACTCCGGTTTACTCTTAAAATTACTTATTTTTCAAATGTTTAACCATTTTTTATGCTTTCTTGTTTAATCAGTGAGGAAATAAATGCTTTGATATCGACATCAGAAAAGATGCTCTGAATATTTTCTACTGAAGTTTTTCAGTGTTTCTTTACCCTTCTTTGTTTAGGATCAAATTTAGTTTCAAAGAAATGTTTCTGGATTCCATATTTTTGGGCCGATCCACAGAAGTGGAGACACTCGCTCTGCAAAGTTCTGGTAAAATGTTCCTGAAGTTCTGATACTGGAAACGTGCCTCATGATGTTGTTCCTGCCTTCATTCAAAAGGATCAGTGGCACCACAAAATCTGGACTATGATACAATGGACCAGTGTGTGTGTGTGTAATCCCTAAGACGAACAGAAAAATGTACTTGAACTATAGGCAAAAGTCAATAGCTGGCAGAAAAAGACTTCTAGAGCGATGCAGAGTTCAGTGGGGCCATGCAAAAATATATTTTCAGAGCTGTCTACAGGGAAAATCAGTCCAAAGCACCACTTATTCAGATGAAATCTGGTGGAACAAAAATCTAGAAAAAAATAATTTGAGATGATATTTGATCCCAAATAACGATAGATGAAAATAGAAATCTGAGATCAGCAGGAAAATATTGTTTTGTTTTGTTTTTGCTATCTATCAAACAATCTTTTAGATGTACAACACTGTATTTTCTGCTTCTTGCCTCCATCTTTAGTCCTGTTTTTCTCTTGCAGATTAAGCCCTGCCACTACCTGCCGTGCTTTGTGACCTCAAAGAACGAATGCCTGTGGACGGACATGTTGTCCCACTTTGGCTATCCCGGCTACCAGTCCCGACACTACGCCTGCATCCAGCAGAAGGAGGGCTACTGCAGCTGGTACCGGGGCATGACCACCCGCGATAAAACCGCCATCAACGCCACTGATCCCTGATTGCAAAGGCCGATGCCCGCAGTCGCCCCTACGGGCGTCCGTCCTGTCCAGGATCACTTTTGGAGTGTTGCAGAACTCAAAGATTACTGGCCTTGGTAACAGCCTCCCTTTTAAAGAGGCATAAATGATTAAAAAGAAGAGAAAATATATGACAGTGCCTGTTTGTAGCACATCTAATTGAAAAAGAAAGCTTTTTGTTGTACAGAATGCCCTTTAACTCTTCAATGTTTTTCATGCTCAACAATCAACACAATCCAATCACAAAGACGGGTTTCTTTATGCTCCCAAGGCATTTAATAAGAGAAGCCTGTGGCTAATTGAAACGATTAATCATCTTCTAAATTCAAAAGAACTCCAGACTACAGGCACACAGTTATGATCTAGGGTTAGGGTTCTGTTGTGTCATCAGTGCTGCTTAGAGCTCACTAGCATCACTGCCAATCATCTCCAGAACAAAGATGCTTTTGTGCCAGTATGTGAGGTATGATGTTTAATATTTGATATGTTCAGAGTTTTTTTTTACTGTAGAATCTCTGCTTCCCTGAATGTTTTTTTTTTGACTTATTTAACTGTTTGTCACAAACGGCGCCCCCTCTCTGTTGTGCACTGATTATTAATAGATACGTTTTAAAAGCAATGCAGTGCCAGTGCTGAGGTACACTCTCTTCTTTGCAAAGGTTATAATATTTAAGTTGTTGCTTTATATAACATAAGCTACAGAAATTAACTCACACTCAATCTCTTTAATTACATGTATTTATGTCTATTAAGTTACACATGTGATACTTGTGCATACAAGAAGGAAATATATATAATATAAGGCCAATCTATGTTGAAATGGGTAGAAAATTATTTTTGAATTGTCCAAATTAGGACATTCCTTTGCAAGTTTAAATATTATGGTACTTTTAATTATTTCAGTTCCCCCTGGCTGGTACTACTCAACCAATCCAATGAAAGTTCGTAGGTTTCAGCTCCTTTCCAAGTTTATATTCAATCATCTTTATTCAGCTATTTTAAATAGATGTTTTATTTAAATGAAGTGTTTTCACAAATTTCATCTGTTTTTGATTTCCCCTTCAATTCATTCCATTAGCAGATGCAGATTAGCCACAACGGGAGTAACAGCCTTCTTCACTTTTACTAAAACATGCACCAAAACTCTTATGATCAATTTGCAAAATATATTTTCATTTCTAAAAAAAATAAAAAACATGTATTTGTTAAATGTTACTGATAAATATATGGCTGCTTGATACCAGTTTATATGATAAAACAGTTTTTATGCTAAACACGAAGCTAAAGGCAGCTTAGCTGACATGCTACTGTTGGCTAATGTCAGCTTTTACTCAGTAGTAATAAAATCCTTGTATCAGTAAATATAAAGCTCACAAAAAATGTAATATATAATTTATATGATATAAATAGTTTCAGTATGATTTTTTTTCCTCGAGTGATTTTCTGCACTGGGCAGAAAATATTTAGATTTTTTTTTCTATGTCTTCTTTTTAAATTTTATAAATTAGAAATAATTTTTTTAAACAAAAAGTGGTTCAGTTCAAGATTTATAGCTATTATGCTAGAGCCTGCTGATGTTCTAAAGGCAAGTCCTATCTATCCCAATGTGTCATAATTCAAAAATGAGAATGCCTACAAGAAAAGAAAAATAAACTTTAAAAAATATATATTTTTAAAGCCATTATTGTTTTTCTGGGTGAAGAAGGCATTTTCACTTCCAGTTGTGATATTTCTGTGGTTTATGTTTGTGTAAATGTACTGTTTGCTTAACATAGAAAAATGGTTGGATATGATCTTAAAAGAACAAACAAAAAAACCTACAACCAAGAGTCTGTGTAAACACTGATTCCTGAATTGTGTGGGAGGAGGGTTATTTCTTTGTAGGGGTAGAGAATTATGACTTAATTTCTGTGTTTTATATTTTTGTAATAAAGATTTAATGAAAAATAAACCTAGGTGGTGTTTTAAGTGATTTCTTTTAAGTGCATATTCCTCTGTTTGAAAGAGAAACTCACCATCTGTGTGTGGTTGGGATAGAAGGTCTGTTCATTCAGGGGGAACTTCTCCGGGCCGAGGGAGTGGTACAACTTAATCATCTGAGAAAACTGCAAGAAGAAACAAATAACCTGTTGTCAAATAAACTGGAGGACACACGCTTCACCCATTATTATGACACATTATTACAAGGCAACAAAACATAACTTAGAGCTGCAACTGACATGTAGCATCTTTCAGAGTCTCCAAAAAGCTTTACAGTGAATCATTCATCCATTCACACACTGGTGGTGATGAGCTACAATGTGGCCACAGCTGCCCTGGGGCCCACTGAAACAGGCAAGGCTGCCGAGCACAGGCGCCACCAGTCCCTCCGACCAGGAAAGGTGGAATAAGTGCCTTGCCCATGGACACAACAGCAGAATTATCTGCCAGGAGCCAGCTCAGTCCTACAGTTTCTGGACAACCTGCTCTATGTGGGGTTGGTTACCAACCAAAGAAGTGGACTCCCTCACTGTTTTGCCTCAGAACAACCATGAATAAATGGTACCGAAACATGCTGCCAGAGGAACTCCTCCCAACCATCACCAACAGCTTTGTGTTGAGCAATGTCTTTTTCAGCAAGATGGCGCACTGGGCCACATGGCTAAAATCTGTGGCTTGGTCCCAGTCACCTGACCCTATGTTGTGTTCGTTTCCTAAACTGATCCGCTCTTGATTAGTACCTACACTGTCTTGTATATAGCAACAGTTTCTGTAAGTATTGACACTTTATATTATTATTTTATCAGAACTATATTCTTACTTCCTATATTTTCTTATCTCTTATTTTTATCTTCCTGTTTTATACCAAGTACCAAAGCAATTTCCCAAAACACTTCTGATTCTGATTCAGAACTAAGCGGTTCAGGGAGGAAAGCATCAACATGTTGGGTCCAGATGCAAGAAACTACTCAGACCTTTACCCTGTTTAGAACCTATGATAAATTCCAGGTCACAGTACTGCTAGTGTGCTCCATGGCATTTGTATGCTGTTGCTGCAGGACCTGCCAAGGATAACAATCAAGAACGTACACAGAATAATCTAGGCCATAAGACGCTGAAATCAAAGAAAGACAATCGTTTCAAACTGCATGTGTCTGCCTGCATTCATAACCATGACTGTAAGTTAACAAGCTTCTGCCTTGGGTTGCTAAAATTCTAAAAACTCTACAACAGAAAACCTGAAACTGGACACTTATTGTGTTTTTTTGATCTGTTTGCCACAGCTGTAAATGCATTTTGGCAGTTCAAGTTTGTTTTTTAAAAATGTGTTATTGAAAACTATAAAAGAAGGCCACAAAAGCATTCCATTTATTTGTTGTTTTGTAAATCAGACTAAAGCAAAAGGTGCAGCATATCCAACAAGTTTCATCAAACAGGTTACGGAGCTGGGAAATACCATGCAAAGTACTTTCACTATGTAAAACTAATGTATTCAGTATATTTAAGACCTAAAACTGTATGTGATAAGAATGTAATTTATGAAGTCATACAGAAGCATCTACATGCTTTTCACTGCAGTTAAGTTGCTTTCCTTGGGAACAGAGTCTCTAATAAAGTCTGGTAATAGAGGCTTCTTGCTCATAAGACAGGTGTCCCAGCTCCGTTTAACAACCCAGATAAATCAGTGTCAGGCAGCTGCCAAAGCAAGGACTGAAAATGTCAAAGTGGGGGTTTAAACAGAGCTAAGAGCTGCTGAAGACTGCTTACCACCCAAGGTTTGCTGCAGAAATTGTAGACAGAGAAAAGAGAGTTGATGCTTGGAACACCACCAAAATGCAGGCCAATCACAAGAGTCCGAAAGTCCTCACCAGGTACCATGCTGTAAGCATGCTGGCGAATCAGGACAAAGTCTGGCTTGAAGGACCTGCAGAAAATTAGGACAATAAAACAGAGTTGGCTAGGTAGGAAGGTAGGCAAAACCCAAATATTTCGAATAGTTATTTCATTTAGATTTCATTTTAATTTCCTTTTTATATATTTAGTATCTCATATTGACCAAATACTCCATGTACAGTATACTTCACTGATTACCAAGCAGGAAAACGATTTAGCAGCAGATGCTGTGAGCTTAGTATAAGTGTTGACATTCTCTGAAGGTCTGAATTATGTTTTACTGAAGTGATCAGACTGAGCACCAATCCCAGAAAACCCACACTATACCTGACCTGACTGTGCTCAGGTCAGGCAACTCTCCAGTCCTTCATCACAATGATCAGGTGCTCTGGTAGTTACTGTGTCAGGCCAGCAGAGTGAAGAAATGCTCCTAATCTTTTCAGACCAACGATCCAATTAACATGGCCTAATCCTTCCTTTCCTTACTGTTCCAGGAGCGGTGCCAAGTGGTCCATCGAGCACCTGCAAGGCACCTTTCGCAACTTAGTATGGCTGGCGTTGGTTTTCATCTCCAAGTGCTCTCCAGTTTGATCCAGGTCAGGTGTATATTCATACACTCTTGTGGTATTTCAGCTTGTTTGAATGGGAGACTTGGAAGTATTGTGGCACTTTGGTTAATGACAGCTTCCTCTCTGAGGCCACTTTGTAGCTAACTTAATCAAATGCAGGACCAAGTCTTTAACTGAGATTGGGATAACTTCAATTACTTACGTTTAGCTCAAAATCTGTAAAACTGAATGAAAATTTGTCATTTTTAGTGCCTAATGGTGACCTAACTCCAAAAGTTAACAGTTTGTAGACATTCCCCCAGTAAAGATTTGTCAAACACACACACACAGGCGGAAACTAATGCAAAAACAATTCAGTCTGCCTTTCGACATGGGTAGATCATTTTAAATACTGTATTTAAATTATGCCGGATCAACATGGCTGCTACTTTATTACAGATTACAGATTGGGTTCATCCTTCAGAAAGAAGCAGTCTAAATTGATGAGAGTGGCCTGACCAGGAAAAAAGAATAAAACCAAAACAATAAACTGAAAGACACAAAAAACATCATAAAGCTGATGGAAACAGCTGAGTTGGACTTCAGTTCTCTGTGGGTTTGTTGATGTGTGGCAAAATAAATGTGGCTACTTTTTTAAAAGTAAGAAAACGAACACAAAAGAAATATATTTCTAAAACTTTTAGCAAATTCACTTAAGGTAAAAACACCTGCACATCACGTGTGTGTGGGTAAGAGAGGTCTGAAGTAGATGGAGACAGTTTGTGGACCCAGATTACAGCCTGACCATCCAACGGGCTGCGGTTCCTCAAGTGTTGCTTTTGTCAGACAGAATGGGCCGGAGGAATTATCTGGTCTCGGCGTCAGAGCGACTACAGCTGTTCCCCCTTTGCTAACTCGGCCAGAGTGACAACACACCAAATGCTCCTTCCTGCTATTTACACTGGACAGAGCTCAGGAACCAGATATGTCAAATGTCTAAAATACAGATTAATACTGTTTATAGACAAATTAACCCAGACAGCAGCCTATATTAACATCAACTAAACCATAGATAGATACCACACCAGTTCATTTGTACAGCATGTTTACACACAGCATGAGAGTTGACCAAATTACTTCCCATAAATACATTACAACACAATAAAGTAAAAACTGATTAAAAAAACAAACAAAAAAACAATAGGGTCACCAAAAAAAATATAATCCACAAACATGGTCTTTAGGGCTGCAAAACCATATCAATCAAATAGATAAAAATCAATGAAAAAATGCGTTGGCAATGCATTTCGTCATCAATTCGTTGTGTTGTGCAACTTTTTTTCAAGATGCGCAACTTTTATAAACAGTCAATGCACGTAGCTCATCTGTAGGTGGCAGCAGAGCAGACCGAGGCAGATCAGAACGAGAGAGAAAGCCGGTGTTTTGATGAGGAACGACACACTTAGAATATGGCAGAAGCAGGAAGACCTAAGATAATAAAAACTCCAAAAGTTTGGTAGCACTTAATGTTAAACCATGGAAAGACCTTTGTCACCTGCAACATATGTAAATCAGACATGGCATGGCACGGGAGTACGACGGTGATGATGCAGCGTCTTAAACGCAAGCATGTCGGAGCCATCAATGAGGAAGGGGAGAGCTCAGTCTCTGGGTAAATTGCAAAAAACTGTTTATTCTTATAGAGTAATTCACCCCTAGGCCCGGATTAATTAACGTTGTTAGGCAGGGCTGTACATTTATGTTGCACATGCAATACACTATTTTTAGAAGCAGCACTGGTGCAACATCTTTTCAAGTGACTTTCCCCCAGAACTTTATTGAACAAAGGTAAGTTGCTTTTTATTGTGTAAGGAAGATGCTTTTAGCGGCACACAGTGTGCTAATCTAGGTGCTTTGGAGGAAAACAGAAACCAGCAAGACACAAAGGCAGAAACAATTCGGGATCAAAAGTGTAACTACGGCCAGATTAGCTAATGCTAGCCAGTAGCAGACTCACGATTAAGAAGGGTTCAGAAAAACCACAATGGTCGTGAAACTAAGAATATCTAAACTCTACAAGCGGAAGAAAAGTTGCCATCACCCCATTTATTCTTAGCTGTCTGCAGCGTTATGGAGCAGAGCTACTGCAGTCAGGTTGCTGCTTCGAGTCTGCTCTACTCAACACTGCTGCAGAATTATAGCACGCCACTATAATACATATGTCACCATTACATTTTTAGCAGTAGAAATGAAATGTTATTAGCATTTCTAGTAGCTCACTACCGATCATGTTAATGAAATACATAAAATTTACTGATCATAGTTTAGTTATGATATATTTAGGTGATAGCATGTTGTTTTGCTATTAAACTGTTTTCTAACCATGTTTTGCTGTTAAATAAAGTAAAGAAAGGAGAGAAAAAATGTTTCCTTAGCAGTTTTTAAATTTTCCTGTTTAATACGATTAATCGATTAATGAGTCAAGACCCAATCTGGTTAATCAAGACTGTGAGTTCCATCAGTCAACCAAGGGTCCATAATGGTCCTCTTCCACCTAGGCTTAAGACGAGCCACTGAGTCCAAAGCAGCAGATCAAGTCATAGTAAACAAATGCAAAAGCCCATCCGCAAAAGCACATCTGATGGGCTGAGTGGGGACGAAGAATTGTTCAGCTGATCTTCGATCTCTTGTTAGCGTTCACGGCTGTACAAGTAAAACCAGAAAGCTTTAAAGTTTATGTCAGCTTGGGGTTGTTTCCACTTATTAAGCCAATAAATATATTCAAAGCAAGCCATTAACAGCTGTCTAGTTAGGAAAACATGGAAAACCTGAGATTTTTTAAACTTTGTGACATCATAATAATCAGAATTCCTGGAGCAGGAAGCTATTCATACTTGGCACAATGTGCTGCCATGTGGTCTCTAGGTCCATTTAACAAGCAGAACACCTGACCTTCTAATAGGCTCCAGCGAAATCTCAGCTTGTGGGGAACGTGTGTGATCACAAAGACCCGGTGCTTAGCTCATAGGATGGTGAGGGCTTAATCTTCCTCCATCAGTCTGTCTGTCATTGATAAGACTAATTGTGGTAAAACTCAGCGGGAATGCTACGAAGGTCAAACAGTAGGACGAGGAGCGGCCTGGAGCTAAAACACAATGGTCCATTATGCCAGGCTGGCTCTCTGTCGTCACCGGGAAACCAACCTGAGGGAGACAAAGTCTGTTTGCCTGCTTCTGAGGAAAAATGCTGGTACATAGACACCTTCATGAAGTTAGACTGTTAGTCTAGTTAGTCTAAACACTGCAGCACATCAACATCTTAGTTAAATTGGATTCATGTCATGAAAAGCTAAGCCTCATGGAGGCCTGTGATGGGTCATGTCTTTTAAACATCACACAGCCACAATAGAGAATTAACTTCATTGTTCCTTTCTTTAAATATTATTTTCCTTTTCTTAATTTTTCATTTTCTCCATTTAAATTATGATCTTTTCCTAATCATTTTCCCATCTTTTTATTGTTTTTCTTGTGAAGCGCCTTACGCTTTTTATCTTGAGAGGCACTTTATAAAAAAATCCTTTCCTCTTCTTCTTCTCACAAATTGAAAGGATTGGTGCAAGTTTAGAAGTTATTTATTTCTACAATAACAAAACACTCCCTTTTAAAATAGGTGCACACATTTTAGTCTACACTTTAAATCTTCATCTTCAGTGTCTCCTGAGTTAGCCGACAGCTGAAAAAGGTGGAAAAGGGGCAGAGCAGGCCTATATGGAGACCAGAAGAAAAAAACGTGGTTTAAGATTTCTAAAAAAGGAAGGTATACATTTCTTTAGTTTTCAGATATTGTACATGACAATATTTACACAGAAAATGTAACTCAAGATATGTTATTTAGATGTGAAAAAACAAGTATTAGTACTATTACTACTAACTATACATTTCTGGACCCTTAAAGGTTCCATATCTTGCTATTTTAAACCTTTGAGGGCAAAGGTAGGCGCAATACATGGCAAAATGTTGCCGTTGGCAGTACTGAAATGTCATTTATCTTAAATACGAGTTATTTTCATCAGCCTGATTTCAAAACTGGAAATGAAACAAAAAATTTCAGTGATGCTCCGCCCACGTCTGTTCCGACAAAACACACGTACAACAGTGTCTTTGGCCTACCTGGTAGCTTCCAGGAAAAGAGCAAGGTCTGATGATGATCTTAGGCCCAATTCCAATATTCGCACTGCTCCCTATCTTCAGCAAAGTGCACTTGGAGGAAGTGTGCAGTAAGGCTTTGAGTGCGTAGTACACAAGTGTGCCAATAATTTACGAATTGGGACAGTGAGCGTTGCATCATTGACTGCAATGCATGTCGGTCACTGTGCTACTTTTTGTTTTTATTAACAAGTTTCAAACAAACAAACAATTTCTTGACTAAATTTACATTCACTGACCTTCTCAGTGGCCTAGTAGTAGAGTATCCACCCTGGGAC